AGTCATTAAATTATGTCACTTACCATCTTCCATAATTCATTTAGACTTTTCAGTTAAGCTGATGAATATTTATGAGTATCTCTTAAATTTAAAAATATTGAAAAACTAATATTTTTACACTTGTTGCAAAATAAAATGCTCACATTTGCCTTGATAGAGTCCATCAGAAGACAAAATGCATTTTCCTTTTGTCTTTATTCATGTATATATATATATATATCATGGCTCCTTATTTACTCACTCATGTGTCTCCCTTTTACAAATTCCCTGTTTTGATTATTGTCATTCTAATGAATCTTTCTAAAGAAATACTGGATGAAAAAGGTCCCTTTAAAAAGATATGTTCCATGATTTTCTAAGCCATATTTAAATTATGTGGTACAAAATTTTTGTTTAAATATATTTATACTTCATTACTTGCAAATTTTTTGTTATAAAGAATTTATTTAATTAAATTAGTTATATACAGTGATTTAATTAAAGGAATATCTTTAACATGTTAGTTTTTTATTTTCTTTATAAATATATGAAATTTATATAATTCAATTAATTTTGTATCTTTAAGCACGTGGGAGCATTTCACAGGAAATATTTTGGTTTCTGGAATGATTATCAACATGTCTTACTAGAAATATTTTTCTGAAGTCCTCTTATTCTGGCAATAAATTGGACAGTAATTCCAGACAATTTCCAGATTTTCCTGAAGTGTTGAATATAATATTTCACTGATATTAATTTTTTTTTTTGCACAAAAATGTTAAAAAAAGGTCCTGATCTAAGGTGGTTAACTTTAATGACTGTTTATTGCTTTTATTATTTGTCTAATGTTCAGAATTTTTTAAAGGTAAAATTCAATTTCTGCTTTCTGCTTACAAGTAACTTTTTGCCAATTCCACAGATTTATGTCCCCAACCATTTCATACCACCCCAAAACAGACAGTAGCAGCAGCAGCAGCAGCATCATCCTGCCTCCTCCATCATCACAATTCCTGATATACCATTTCCATATCATCACTTTGGTCATCAGTCCTATCAAAAAATACAAAAAAACTTGCATCTCTTCAAATTGTTTCATTTTTTCATTGTAAGTCTACAGAAATGGTAATTAGAACTCAAAACATTTAAATTGCCAAGTTCCAATCAATGTAACTGAACCCTGTCATGGTTGATAATCAGTGTAACAACTTTTTGCTTTGTGGTATTCTAATAATAGGATCTTTCATTTGTTTTCTTGACAAAGGGCCAAGAATTCTATAAAAATAGAAAATATACATCAAATGAAATGCATTGCAATAGCAAGTGTTGTCAAGAATTCCTGAATAATCTTTATATTGCATTTAGTTACTGATTTTTCTCAGTCGAATCCACAAAATCAAAATCAAGAATGATTTTACTGATGTATAAAAATCTAGAGGATAAAAGAAAAACAGATTTCAATAATTTGAGTTTTGAATTCCAAATGATTGCATCATCTATTAGATTAACAGACAAATCCTGGATCAAAAATATAAGCACATCAATTCAGACAAATCCTGGATCAAAAATATACGCACATCAATTCAGACAAATACAGGACCCAACATATAATTTCAATTAAGACAAATCTGAGATTCAAAATATAGGTTCAATTTAGACAAATCCATGATCTATCAAATAAGTTTAAATCAGACTAAACCAGGGTCAAAAATATAGTTTCAGTTTAGACAAATACAAGATCTCAAGATATAAGTTCAATTTAGAAAAAATAACAGGATCCAAAATATATCTTCAATTCAGACAAATCTAGGATCTGAAATATAGGTTCAATTTAAACAAATCCACGATCCATCAAATAAGTTTAATTCAAACTAATCCAGGGTCCAAAATATAGGTTCAATTTAGACAAATCCAGGATCCAACAAGTAAGTTTAATTCAGACAAATCCAGGATCTGAAATATAGGTTCAATTCCAACAAGTACAGGATCCATTATGAAAGTTCAATTCTGACACAACCATGATCCAAAATATATCTTCAATTCAGACAAATTTAGGATCCAAAATATAGGTTCAATTTACACAAATACAGGATCCAACATAAAAGTTTAATTTTGCCAAATCCAGAATCCAAAATATATCTTCAATTCAGACAAATTCAGGATCCAAAATATGGGTTCAATTTTGGCAAGTCCAGGATTTATGATATGTTCAATTTCAAAAAATCCAGGATCCAGAATATATCTTCAATTTAAATACAGGAACCAACATAAAAAAAGTTCAATTTAGGCAATACAGGATTCAAAATATAGATGCAATTCAGGCAAATCCAGGATCCAACATATAGATAATACCAAATAACCCCATTACCCCTGGAATTGGCATTTCCTCAGGCAAAGGTATCTTTTGGCATTATCTACTTCTACTCTAATTATATTGTGCACACCTTATTAACCATTTAGACTAATTAATTAGGGTTTCTTGCATATAATTATCTGTTAAAATATTACTGTATTTTACTTTCTT